AGGCATGCTGCTTGATGGGGAATGCAGAGCCTACATCTATGTCATGCTCTAACAGAGAGGTACGAGACGGTGTGTCACCAAACAACGACGGGTAGGCCCGTAAAAAAGCCAGAATGTCCTTGTACTGATCCTTACTGAGATAAGCCAGATTGGCGCCTAAACTGGACATATACTCAGAGTTTGATAACCTTCCACTCTGTTGTGCAACACACGGCTCTGCTAAATCCTCAAGACTCTCCGAACACACGGCTGACACAGAGGGCACAGCTAGCACTGTGCTGGCCTGTGCTCCCCCCTTACAAGGAGAGTGTCATGGTTTAAGTTTATTTCCTGTTTTATTTTGAAATGTGTTATCCCTGTGTCTTCTTTGGTTGTACTTCCTGTTGTCTGATTACCTGCCCTGCCCTTATCTGTCTCACCTGTGTCTCGTTAGTCTTGTATTTAGCCCTGTGTGTTCCTTGACTCCCTGTTCCGTCATTGTCATTCCTAGTCTGTTTTAGTTCTGTCCGTTCCCTGTGTTTTTGGTAGGTCTTGATTTGTATTACTTTCATTGAATCCATCTTTTTTTGCAGTTTTTGCCTTTTGGGCCTCATTTGTTTTTCACCCACGTGACGTGACAGAGAGGCTTCAGCATGTTGACATGACAAAGTCTAGTCTTCCTTCTCCGCTCCGGGGTAGCGATAAGGTAGTTTGTGTCGGACACTTTCCTCTCAATAACATAGGGACCAGAGAAACGGGCCGAAAGGGCAGAACCAAGGGTTGGGAGTAACACCAGGACTTTATCCCCAGGACTGAAGTGCCGAATCACTGCCTTTCTGTCGAATCGCCTTTTCATTCCAGCCTGGGAAGAGACGAGCGCTTCCCTAGCCCACGCGGTAGCCCGCTGTAACCGCTGCTTACAGTCTGACACAAAATCCGATGCACTCCTAACAGACTTCGGCATGGTTAATAACTGTTCCTTAAGCACTTTAAGTGGCCCACGCATGCCGTGACCATAAACAAGTTCAGCGGGGCTGAACCCGAGGGATTCTTGGGTAGCATCCCTAACAGCAAATAACATGAAAGGAACACCCTCATCCCAGTCCTTCCCTGTCTCAAAACAGAACTTGCTCAGCACAGATTTCAGCGTCTGGTGCCACCGTTCCAACGCACCCTGAGACTCTGGGTGATAAGCGCTGGCCACAGAATGAGCAACCCCGAACGACTGCAGGGTCTCCTTGAAGACTTTAGACAGGAAGTTAGTTCCCTGGTCAGTCTGTACAACCCTAGGCAGACCAAAGGTACTAAAAAACGTTGTAACGGCTTTAACAATAGAAGGGGCCGTGATTCTGCGCAGAGGGATCGCCTCGGGGAAACGAGTGGCAACACACATAATGGTTAACAAGAACTGATTACCCATCTTGGTTTTTGGTAGAGGGCCAACACAGTCCATAATTACATGCTCAAAGGGTTCCCCAAGGGCAGGCACAGGGCGCAGGCGGTACCACCTGATTTGGTTTCCCAACGGACTGGCAGGTAATGCAGGTCTTACAGAAAGCAACCACATCAGCCTTCAGACCTGGCCAAAAGAAATGTTGGAGAACGCGGTCATAAGTCTTGGTAACACCAAGATGGCCGGACCACAGGTGTTCATGCACCAGAGACAATACATGGTGCCTGTAATTTTTGGGAACGACTATTTGGAAAATAGTACACCAGTCATTAGTGTCAGCGTTACCTTCCAGAGGGACCCACTTGCGCATCAATACACCCTCATCAAGAAAAAACCGAGTCTGGCCAGCTGGGCTGTCTAAAACAGAAAAACATTTGGTCAAAGTCTCATCACACTTTTGAGCTCCAATCAAAGCGTCACTGGTGAGTGGAGGGGACATAGCGGTGGTTGACTTCTCACTGCTGGCCTTCTTCCTGGCGTGGTCATCAGGCCGAGCTCGAGGCGTGCAGCCCCCGCCAGAGAATTCACTCCGCCCGGGATTCGCCCCGAAAATAACAAACTAAAACAAAAAACGGATGCCCGAAGGAATTACGAGTAAATCGGCCAAGCTGGACACCCCCCTAGTCTAGCTGGGTCACCAATGTACAGTGGCTGAGCAAGCGCCCATACACAGCTCAACTCACCCAGAGCGCACGCACCCACGAACACTCACAGACTTCTGGTACAACGTCAGGATCCCGGACGAGCCCCCAACTATTACGTGCCAGAATGTCCAGGGTAGCACGTAACGTATATAGTGAATAACCGGGTGTGGGATGACGAAGGATGAAGGATCCCATAATAAACAAATAAACTACTAGCAGAAATGTGCAGAAACAAAGGTGCAGCGTAGGACGCAGACGTCAGCCCTCATCTGGGCCAGGGGCCTTTTAGGCCTGGGCGGATTGGCATCCAGCAGGGGCCGATCATCAGCCAATGGGTGGTGCGGAGGAGGCACAGAGCTGAAGGGGGTGGAGGCAAGGAAAAGTACAAACCACAAGGCCCATAACAGACAGTGACATAAATACTGTAAATAAAGTGAATCTCAGTTACTTTTCAAATTGTGAAGAGAGAGTGGAACTTCTTGAAGACAAGAAGTTACCCCACAGCTTCCTGATTGGTTGACATTACTTCAAAACTTAGACATTACTTCAAAACTTAACATCATTGGTTTAACACTTCTCCTCCAGTAATTGTTTCTGGTCTGAGCTATGCTAAGGGGAGGGACAATTTTTAGTTATATTAGTTGAAAAATACTTACTGTGGATAATAGCACAGTTCTCCACGATCAGAAATAAACATTATTCAAAGGAAATATAATTTTCAATGCTGACATAACCTTTAACACATTATTAGCCAATTACGAGCCCATTATAACTCTTATATCTGGTTTTCACATTTCGAACTTGAACTTTAAAAGACAATAGCAAAGGAAGAGATGTACAATGACCCTAAATGTAAATCTAGAGCTTCAATGGGATGGTTTAAAAAAATAAAAAGCCCTGACCAAAATCCAAATTAAATGTGTGGAAAGACCTGAATACTGTTCTCTCTCCATTTAATCTGACAGAGTTGTTTTGCTTGAGACAAATGGGCAACACTTTCAGTCTCTAGATGTGCAAAAGTCATACCCCTAAAAATCTGCTGCAAGGATTTTTTTATTTATTTATTGTTTATTTGGTTGGGACAGTACATGTCAGTGAACACACCACTCAGGATTGTAGCCATGCTAATTTGCATCCGTTGTTCCACATTCGCACTCAAACACACACTTATTCAACCAAGTTTAATTGAAGTAGCTGTCTGTTTCTTTGTTGTGGTCTTTAAAAATATATATATATTTGTTGTGGGCATAAACATGAGAAAGTGTGCAAAGTATGGTTTGCTATTTTGATTTGTTTCTTTGGTTGACATGAACAAGTGCAACGACAATATATACGCATACATTTGGAAAACCAGCTCAAGTATCATTTTTAGCACCGTGGAGTATTAAATTGAACACCAGTAAGCAAGAGTTGGTGTTGGAAATGTGTAAAGGGCTGTATTTGTCTTTCTAAACGCCTCCATATCCACTCGTCTGTTGAGTGTCAAAGCTACACTTTCCTGCCACCTCGCACTAAAGCTGGTAGTTTGAGAGACTCCACGTGGAATTAAATATGTATGTGTTTTGACAGAAGAAAAAAAACTGGCGACTGTAGACTATGATTTTCGTTCTCAATCGTTTTTGTTTTCATTATGATCCACAACAGAATGTACACACACACACACACATATACACACCAGGTCTAGGGCAAACAAACCAGTTAGAACTATACTCCATAGAAAGCAACAAAAAGGAAAAACACTTAATTGATTAGTATGATTAGTTTTATGAATAGGGCCAACAAATCTGCACTTTGATTGCCACTTCTTTATTGTACATAATTATCTCCTGCACAGACTATATTTTTTACTTTTAACATGTTGCACACTTCAGTGTTTTTGCACAATCTGAGTGAATCTATCCATGCCAAATGTCACATGTACATTTCTCCAGTGTGAGATCAATAATGTCTATCTTATCTTATCTTAAATACAAAAATCCTAGATCAGCAGCGGAATTATCCATTTCACTATTGTTGCAGAACAAATGAAACCATAGGAATTCAGTATGTAAATCAAATTATATTTTAGCCATGGCATTTGTCATAACCGGTTTTCTTTTATTATTCTGGAAAAGGTAAATACACTAAATGAATTAAAACCGCCATGGCTCGGCTGCCTCTTAACGCCTCATGCCCGGAAGTTTGTGCCATTCTGTGCTTGAACCTCCAGACCATCAAAAACACAATCCAACTCCGAAATGATGGTGAAACATGCTGCTATGGTGAAAGATATTGATGGTTTGGAAGGAAAGGGTTTGGTTTTATACCATAGTCCATATTCTCTTCCCCTGGAACTGGAGAAACCGATGTGTGCAGTGGTGACCCAGATCACTGGATAAATGTATTTTCCAGAGCTTTAACGATTCATCATAACTAATGGTCTTTCCAATAATTGACATCTTCTTTAATGAATTGTTAACAGCTCCATTTACAACCTTTAAAACATAAAAATGACAGGAATGTAGTTTAATGACCGAAACAGAGCGATACTGCTGACATTAATTAAATAAGAACCATTATTTTTATTGCAAACTAAATAAAACACAAGCATACACAGGTGCAGACTAGAAACCCAAATACAACATGGACATCTTTTTAAAAATCTAGTTATAAGTACACAATTATTGAGATATTCAGCTAATAGATTGTCCTCAAGTGTCAAATTTTGGGGAAATCTGCATTCTGTGGCTGTATCTAACCATTTTAACCATGTATTGATGTCGTGGTTAATACATAATGGTTCTTCCCTTTATTAATCGATATCAAGAAAATCATTCGTAAGTGCCGTAGCGTTGTCATAATCTTCCACCACTGATAATAAATATTTCTTCTTGACTACTCACTGAGACAGATGAGTAGACACATGATGCCTTTGTTTCCCGTAGGATGAAGCCGGGCAGAGGTGGACATGGTCAGATCGTCCAGACAGGCCTGCTGGAGCCTGGCTGTGAGGGGGACGATGAGCTGAAGGGTATGGGCCCTACAGCTCACCAGGCCTGGGGGAGACAAACTGGAACTGTGTCTGTTATTATGGACCACATAGAAGACTGCAGCTGAATGGCAGGACTCGCACACACATTTCTTGGACTGTTTTTTCTACAATTTCTTCCTCTTTGTCAATATTGAATCGCTGTGACTTTATCCCTGTAAGTATTTCCGAACGCCCTCTTGAAGTCCTCGCTGATTGCGGTGTCCCATAGAAAGCCCCTGCGCCAACACATGCAATTGTTCCAGCCTAATTTGGCATAAAATGAGCACTCCTGATATAGTTGGCTGTGAAATTGGTTTTAATTTGGTTTAACCCTTGGAATGCTGCCTCAATTCTGCAACAAAAGCCGGTAGAGGCTATGTTTACATTTATAGCTCAGTCATCTATTCCTTTCACAATTTAATATGGATCAAAATTGGATTTGTTAGATCCAGACTCCCTGCTAGACTTGCACTCCTGTTGTTGTTTCCAATTTGAGTCAGCGGTTTCTTAATGAGAAGTTATGGTTAAGCCAATTTGTTATTATGCTAAAAATAAACTGTTTCTTGACTACACAGGCAGTTTGTAGACTTCAGCATTTTTCCTTCTCACACCTTACATGCTTTTCTCACAGAATCTTTTACATCATTGATCCACAGATATTTGCATATTTATTTCAGCTGGTGTACCTACATTCAAACCGCAAACAAATACCTTAGTAATCTATCTTATTTGAACTCTCAAAAAAGGATTGAAATCATTAGTTTTTACATGCATGTATTTTTGGCCTCAATCACATCCCTTGATCAGATTTTTCATAAGAAAGTCAAAAAGTCTTCACTCGGGAAGAAGGTCTTCAGTTCGATTCCACCGCTGGCTTTCTGAGTGGAGTTTGCATGTTCTCCCTGTGTCTCTGCGTAAAATCATGTTTAATTGCTCCTCTGAAAATAGAGATTCTGACATCTCTGCGGGACTTTACAGGTTTAATAACGGTCAATAAAATAATACAAAAATTGACTCTAAGCCCAAAGTGTCAAAGTGACTCCCAAGGTTGTTAATTTTGGAAAAAGATAACATGTTTTCCATTAAGATGAAGACAGCATGTTGTGGTCTGGTTTATCCAAAGCATTTCACTATTTCAAGACGATTATAAACCAGTTACACTGCTAAAAAATTCTGAAATGCAAAAATTAAAAAATATTTTAATTTGATTATATTTTTACTGTTTTCTCGGCAAAACAAGATTGTTCAATAGGACACCGCTATTTAGTTAAGAACTGTTGCTTTATTCCCCCATTTTTGTATCTGTTGCTTGGCCCATTGGCTAATCTTCTCTATCATCTTTAAGGCAGTGAATCAAATTCACTCAAATTAAGATACATTTTTTCCAAATTTGAGCTATTTTTGACACATTTTTATTGATTTTTGCAGTAAAGGTGACACTACTTTGAAAAACTGCTTTAAAATAATTTTTTACCAAATGGTGATTCACATCAGTAGAAATGCAATCAAAAAGTGAGGTTTTTTCCATTGAACAGTGGGATGCTATGAGCTATTTGCATATTCTACTCACTTCATAACCAGCGCTGGCCCTTTCCACAAATGGTAATTGAACAGAAGAGAGAAGCAGGGCAATATACCAACCTCCATCTATCCGTCCATTTTGTCGAGTGTTGATTCAATCTCTCTCCACACCACTCTCCCCTATTACCGCTGATTATATTACAAGTAACATTTGGAGGTCAAAACTCCACTTTCCCATAATATCAACAAATTTCCCTGCTCTGATTCAATGGTCAAAAACGACATTAGCCAAGTTGAAACTCCCATTTAGCTTATTGAAAAAGCCAGGATAGGACATTAGATATTAGGATAGCAGGCATCTTTCGAGGGGAAAGTGTGAACGGGGTATGACCAAAACACATCATTTTTCAGTCTTTATGTGCCATTATGTCTCAGATAATGATTTTTGGTGTCTTGGATAATCTAATGAAAGACAAGTGAACCTGTGGAGGCCATCTCTTTTGTGTGAATCAATGGAGGTGTCTGCAGAGGGAGGCTGGAGGACAAAGTAAATGTTGCGACGGAATGATCAATAAAAGCAAAGTTGACTATGAGCAAGCAGCCTATTGCTCATCTGTGTTTTTCCACCTAGACACTTTTGATTGCTTCAGATAGTTTTTCACTGAAGGAAGATGAAACAAAATCAAGCTAAGAAAAAAACAAGTTGAAAGAAAGTCTATTTTGATTTAAAAAAAAATGGTTCAATCCATTTTTGTCTACCTAACACAGCCCCGGTTTTCCAATCTCCACCATGCACTGGTTTTCATTATGTCTGCACTTACCACCAATCTAAGTATTTCTATTTTGTTAGAGCTCCCGCTGCGATACAGGAAGATATACTAGTCAGTTAATCTCTTTAACAATGGCGCTAACAACGGCGCTAACAACAGCGCTAACAACGGCGCTAACAACGGCGCTAACAACGGCGCTAACAACGGCGCTAACAACGGCTTCGACAACGGCTTCAACAACGGTGTCAACAACGGCGTCAACAACGGCGTCATTTTTTGTTTTCTGGTGATTAATGCGAGCACAATAGTGTTGTAGCAAAAGTATGTGTGTGTCATAATTTGGGCTGGCGAGCGCCTGCCGTCTTCCTAGTGTTTATGTGAACAGCAGATAAAGAGGATGCAAGGACTTATTTTTATGTGATTAGGGCTAAAGTCAGAGCAGAGTTTATGGACTTTATGGTCAGTCATGTTTTAGGAGGAATATTTCGGTCAAAATAGTTTGGATATTTCCAAAGTGCTTTGATTTTCATGAGCAGTGCATTAAAACACCATCAGCGGTTGGTTAAGTGTTCCATTATTCAATAATTAACAGTTTAAAACAAAATACAAAACCATTTTCAGCTTCCTATTTCATTCAGCATTTTAAGAACTTGCCCCGCCCCCTTCCTGATTCAAAACACAATATTGACTCAATCATAAGAATGCTATTCCTGCCTGAATGTTCTACTGTACTTGATTACAGCCTCAGCCCAAACGTCATCAGGGTGTGGACCACACTGCTCACTGTTAAAATTGCATATTTTAAACTTCACCTCAACGCATGAACACAACTTAGATTTGTTGTTTTGGCAAACTGTGGAGACAAAAAAACTGAAATTCTCCCTCGTCAGAAAAGTATGAAGCCCCCCCCCCTCCACAGCATGAAGCTGCGCCCGTGATTCACGATTCAGATTATCTTTTTCAGGGTGCCTCATTTTTTTATTTCCAACATGACGATGGTCATTGTGGTCAAACTTTTGTTTCATCATACCCAGAATATATCTCCAGAAAATCTAATCTTTATCTTATTGTGCTTTGGAAAACGGCTGCAGCCTTTCTGGTTGTGTGTGTACAAGACAGTGCTTCACTGTGGATTTTGATACTTCTTTACTCCAACATCTCTACCAGGGCCGTGGCAGTTGTTCCTGGATGAAATACCACCTTTTATACTGAAGTATGTTCATCTGTGGGAGACGTTTCCCATCTTGTACTTTTAAGAATCTGCTCCAAGGGATGCTCCAACTAGTGGAAGTCCACAATCCTTCTCATTGGGTCTTAGTTATTTAATTTTTTTAATTTAATTATCATGACAAGTTATGTCATGATTATGATGTTATGTTGGATGAAAAGTAGTGCGTAAAGTATATATCTGTAAAGTGTACCATTATTTCAGATCTGTTGGAAACCTCACACAACAGTGTGTTGCATTCACATCACTAGAGTTAGGAAGGTGGTGGTGGTGTGGGGTCTTGGCGATGTTTGATCGGATGGTGATCGCACAAGGGGGGCTGGAGGTGTAAAAATGCTGGAGGTGAAGAAGCGGTGGGCGAGCGCAGAAAGCCGGACAGCTGCGTGGCGTTCTGAGCTCCTGTCAGCTTCACACATCAGAGGAACATGTCGCGCCCCAACCTGCGAAGAGGACGGTGACAATCAGCCTCCCACACGGCCAGCTGCTGCAATGACGGGGAGGGGGGGGTTCTGTGGTCTTGACCCCCACTCGGACAGCCCTGGAAAACCTGAGGACATAAACATTGTGATCCCGTCGAGGTATAGCATATTGACAACATTGAAGAATATGTGTGATATGAAATTGAAGCTGGAGTACCCTGTGAAATATAAAAAACTTAATGGAATACGTCTCTAGTTCCTCGCTCTCAAACCTGTTCTATCACTAGTTTGGACATGCATGTATTGTTGTGTTAGTATTAGATAGCAATATGGCCTACGTGCAGGACTCTACAAGGACTCCATGTTATGACTATGATTTGACTGTCTCTTTGTGACACGTATGTCTTTCGATGTGTGACGTGACAATGACTATATAAACTGTGTACTGCCTTTATTCTCTCTGAGAGAAAGAAACAGAGTAAAACAGTGGAACTTGAGAGAAACTTAAATAAACCTCCAGAGTTTGGCACACCACGATCCGTCTCTGTCTGCTAAATCCTAACAGATTTGGTGGAGAATGCGCGGCTCGGTTTGTGCCATTCTCTGGATTGTTTTGAGGGAGTTTTGCTCTGTTTCTTTTCCTCTGCGTGAGAGATCGGCATGCTGTGTCTGGGAGCGGAGATTCCAGCAGGCTGGAAGAGCTGTTCCTGGATGCTTCTTGTCGCTTCTGTCACTTTTGTTGTTTAAATTGAATTTTTCGACGCGGAAAAGATGTTGGTCGACCTCTCGAACAGTCCGGACAAAGAATTAAGGTAAGCAGACACCTTTTTTAATATGTAAAGTCTGCATAATTGGATACTAGCTAAATTTTGAGCTGTCCCGGAGGTCTGTCCAAATCTCTCTAAATCAAATTTTCTTTGTTATGTCTTTGTCACGTCTTTGTCATGTCTTATGTTGTAGAAAACAGGTTAGCTGTGTGGGTAACCAGTCCCTATAGAAAAAAGGAACCCCTGACGTATCGGGGTCCCTGTCCTTTGAAGTAGTCAGGACAGAGAGAAAGGAACCCCTGACGTATCGGGGTCCTGTCCCCTGACGTATCGGGGTCCCTGTCCTTTGAAGTAGTCAGGACAGAGAGAAAAAGGAACCCCTGACGTATCGGGGTCCCTGCCTTTGGAGTAGCCGGGGCAGAGAATAGAGAATAGAAAATAGTTAGTGAAACCATGGTGTAAAATTAAAAGTAATTATAAAAAGGGACACGTTAAACACTAAAGAGTGCCTTTTGTTACTAGTGTGGAAAGTGATCACTTCTAGATTTGGATGACAAAAGTATAAAGAACAACATCAGTTATATTCGCTTAACAAAGTAATCTTGAAAGTTATTCTTCTGTATCTTTTTGCCTGTGTGTGCACATCTCTATCTGCTGCCGTTGTCAGGGAAACGGCCCCCTCCTTCGCTGCTCTGGCTGTGAATCTGAAGCAAAGTTACTGCTTTTAGGAATTTGGCTTTTCATAGTTTTTATTCCGTTAAATTTGCTAAATTTGCCATTTGAACATTGTGTTATGACACAGTTAAACGTTTTTAAACACCATTAGTGAATAAGTTTTGAATTAGTATGTTTTTGAAACCCAAAGATTAGTGCTAAAGCTGTGCAATTCTTTTTAGACCTAACATATTTCTAGATTCCATTCTTTTAAATCTGCTGCTTATTTTGTGAGTCCATTATTGTATCTGATATTTCATAGCTGTTAGTGAGAATTGTTTTATGTTTTTATTTTAGTTACAAAAGCCGTTTTTCAAACATTTAAATTAGAATCTGTTAAAAGTGATTAATGATTGTAGACTTCGTCTAAAAAAGAAAGAGGGAATTAGGCTGTAAAAGTATTATATTATTAAGTTAAACTACCCAATTCACATGCAAGTGGTGACTTTTGTTTTTGTTTTGACTACACGCCTGACCTTGTTGCTCCTGCTGATGCCACAGCAGAGGAGACTGGTCTAAAATGTGCTCCAATTCATACTGACTTCATTTGAAAAATGCTGCAATTATTTTAAATTAGTAAAATATATGCTGAGATAAATGCACAGATAATTAAACACACAGTACAAAAGTACATAATACATATTTTAAAGTTTAAGAAGGTTTAAGAGATTTGAGTCTTGTTTTTTATATTGAGAGTTTCTGGTTTTAAAATGTTATCATTAGTAAGATAATAAGTAATCTTTTATTTACATAGCGCTTGGGAAAACCCAGAGCGCTTCAAAATTGTTTTGACTTTAGGGAGAAAAACAATCTCATTCACAATCTCTGTTGTTTTTAATTTGACTATAAGGTTGTTTTCCAGAACCAAGAGCACACACTGTACAGGGTCACTGCTGGACACTGGACAGCGCAAAGCCCACCCAGCCACAGGTCACAGATCAAAGAGCAAAGGGAAATGCCACCTCCTTGCCCCTCCCCCCACTACAGAAGTAAGTGGGAGTGAGACCGGGGCCATGAAAGAGCGGTATCTGGAGACGTGATGGTGGAGCATCAGGGAGAGACCTGAATGAGAGTTGAGAGTGTGTCCAGTTGGTTTACATCACCACAGTGTGACCTTTGACACCTACAGGTGGTTCGAGGAGTCTTGAGAAACAACCCCAAAATCCACACACACACACACACACACACACATTCACATTTACATATAGATACAAGAAAAAGCAGAACATGAGAAAAAAGCATTTTAAAAGTTTACTCCAATGTAAACACATTTTCAATTGTCTATCACTTGAATCTTTAGTTGAATCTGTATTTTTTGAGACCAGAAATGTTCATTTGAATTCTATATTGTCATGGACTAATTGACCTCTGTCCTGACACTTTTGATTTGTTGATTTTGTACTGTGTGAAGTAATTACATTGATTAGGATTACATCTGATAAAAACACAAATTAGAGAAGTAAACTGAATCATTGCGCTTGCTTTTGTCTGAGGGACAGAAGCAACAGCATGAATAGAAATTGTCTTTAAAGTAGAATCAAAGTGACTTAACCATAGAAAGTAACTATTGCATAACAAGCTGTGTACAGGAACTGAGACACTGCACCATTGACCAGAAGTGCATCGCAAATGACCTGATGTGCTTCAAGTGAAAAGACTGTATCTGGAGATCTGATGTGCATCTGGAGACCAGAACCAGAACCATGGCTTGGACCCTACTGATGACCAAGATGACATCTCTATATGACCGGACCTGATGACGACTGAGACTCACCCTCAGGGGACCCTGAGGATCTGAGGATCTGAGGACCTGAGAGAGAAAAACTGGGGAGTGATGTTTATATTTTTGAAATCATACATTGATGAGTGCTAAATGAGAGAGATACTCATGATTCTTTCTTTTGTTTTTGTTTGTCCCTAGCTTCTGGACATCTGATGATCTATTGGACACAGACTTTTGCAGAACAAGAACCAGCCAATGAAAAACGTCTATTGCCGATGCTTTTGCTACAACCAGAACCACAACTGTGACCAAATGCAATATACATGTTAAGTATTCAGACATCTGACAGACAAAAACTTTGAAAATGATAAAGTATGAGTATTGTAGCGTTTTAGTAGATGTTAAATAGTAGTAAAAAAGTAGAATTGTCCTTTCTTTGTTGTTCATAAACACATTTCCACATAAGAGTTAAAATAGTACCCTACAATGTTATCCTTTTGATAGATCAGCTATAGTATTAGAATCAGAGTTATGTTACAGCCATTGAAAGTGACAGAAGTCACAAACTAGAAATATGCCTTTGCTCAAGCTGCAGCCGAGCTTTGGAGTTAAAAAATAGAGTAAAAATAGGAATAGATAAATGCATCAACCATAGATGCTTTCAAAAATAGAGATTATTTGTAGCCAGTGCTAATATCAAATGGTAAAGGGACCATTTCACAAACATTTACTTCAGAAGTAGATAAAGTTACTTACAGTTTTATGTACAGTTTTATTAGATACCTTCCAAATTCACTTGTGTTCAAACATGAGTGAATGTTGACAATGCAAAAGTCCATATGAGTGTAGTCTAGATTAATGCCTAGATTAATGAGATAGATTACAACCAACAGAGATTCAAAAGCATTTAAAAGCATTTTGATGTATTTGTGTATAGCACAAAAACACAATAGTAGATATTTAGATATTGAGAAGTTTCCAGCACAAACACCATTGTAGAATAACTGACCCCAACCCCAAAACTGCTAAAATAGATTAGCTCTTGTAAGGATAATACTAATTTGATTAATGATGTACATTCATCCCAAACTGCCTGACAATAATATCTTTAGATAATAAAAAGTAATAAATCACTGACCACTATAGAAGTGTAAATGTTGACCATTTGCCTTACTGTGTTCACAGTTTTATTCCTGAGAATGAGAATAGACATGGAGCAAAATCCCACTAACAATATGCCACTAATAGTGAGAGTATAAAACCATAGAGAGATTTATTAGATTAAAATGTATGTTTAAGAATATGGCTCAATAGAAGCAAATATGCAAACATATTTGTGAATAGATTAGAATAGTTTTAAACTATAGTGAATCATGAAAGTAAAGTACACAGTCTAAGATTGAAAAGTGAAAATAATACAGTGAAATAAGTGAAGTGTAAACAATTAGCATTAGAATAAAAGTATAGAGTAAGGCCCTGTCCACACGAAGTCAAGCTCAGGCCTAAACGCAAAAATACTTTATCAATCCAGTGTATCGTCCATACGAGGCCGGCGTTTTGGGGGGGTGTAAACGAACATTTTTGAAACTAGGTCCCAGAGTGGAAAGATTTCAAAACTCCGTATATGCCGCTCCGTGGTTACTGCCTCTCCGCAATGTATCTGAGACGCTTGCGTCATCGCCCCGCCTCTTGTTAAAGCACGCATGCGCCGCACTCAGAAAATAATGACAACAACAATGTAGCTTGTTGGTTTTGTAATCCAGTGTGACCCGAAGCAACAGTTCAACCTCATCGTCCGTCCATACTAATGTAGTACCAGCTCGCCCACTCGCCATGTTGTCTGTTTACAACATTCTGCGCATGCCCAGTTCCCGTCACGGAAGTTTGGGCTTGATCCCGTCATTGCGTCACAGCGCCACCAACAGGTCTGGCATAGTTTCACAGCGTTTTCAGGC